ACATCAAAACCTGATACAACTTATATTAATAAGGTTGCTAGTTTATTTAAGGTTACCCCTTTTCTTGTCCAACCAATTAATTTTGGACGAACATATATCATTTGATATATATATTTTTTTCGTCGCAGTTCTCATGCAAGATAATTCATTTTTTTTCCCACTGAAATTAACTGCTTCATTCTAGTCAATGAGATAAAAGAATTATCAAGAATTTTCAGACGTTTTTGAGAAATGGATGTGTTGATTTATAAAATGAAGAAAAGTTATTTCACAGAAAACTTTTCACAGAAAAGCTAAAGTTTTCTTTCATCCTTTACTATTATTATTATTATTATTTTCACTTAATTTTTCCTTATTCATAATTAAAAGGCCTTCTGTTTTCATTTTATTTCCTTTAGCCAAGTAACTTGCCTTTACTAATATGTTGTATGTTTTTGTGCTGTCATTATTTTCCTTGTTACTAATTAGTTGTCCTAAATGAATGTCACAGTTACATATGTTGAACTTGCTTCGACTGCTTTATCAATGCTTTCAAGTGGAAAATCAAATTTCAATCTTGTGATGGCAAATATAAACTCACCCGACATGCATGGATATAAGCTTCTACAACAAGCAGTCAACATGGACATACCAGTGATTCGTAAATATATATTTCTCGATCCTTATTAATATTCTTGCCTATTTATTTCCCTGTTGGAGGAAAGATGGGTTTACTAACTTCTCCAAAACAAAAAAAAAAAAAAAAAAAAAAAGAAAAAAGAAAAAAAAGAAAAAGAAGGTCTCATGTTTAATAATTTTGAATTCGCAACAAGATTTAAATTTTCTAGTCAGTCATCTAAATTCATATACTTATTTTCCTTGCAAACATTGATTTTAATTCAGTGATGTCTGTTGAAGACAATGCATTCCTTGCAATGGAAGCTCTGGCAATTGGAGCTCTCCTCTGTATTGAGAAACCAGTTACATTGGAAATGTTAAAGTACCTTTGGCAGCATGTGGCGAGAGAGAAAAAGGGCATTTATAAAGAAAAAGAAAGGCGAATGGGAACGATTGAAGAAAACAATAACATGAGAGGGATTGAATTTAGAGGAGAAATTGAGGACGAACACAATATCATTGGAAGTGGCAACATGAAGGACAAAATCCATGAAGGAAAGAAGAAAATATCAGAACCAGAATATCAAATAATCAACAATAAGGTTAAGAGAAAATTAGTACATACTGAGTGGACTCAAGAACTTCATGGAAAATTTATGGACGCTGTGGGGCAGCTTGGTGAAGGAAGTATGTTTTGTTCCCTTAATAATTGCATAATGACACTAATATATCTCTATGTATATTGTGTTTTGAGTGTGGGCCCAAAAATATATATACCCTATTGTAACGCAAGATATATGTATATGTTTTGTGTTTGAAAATATAGTGTGTTTCCCTAAAGAGATCTTGAAGCTGATGAAAGTGCCTGGCCTATCAAGAGTGCAAGTAGCAAGCCATCTTCAGGTTTGTTTTCCATACATGCTTGGAATGATGGACGTGATTAATGAAGAAAGGATTGTGCCAATATCCATTATTTGTTTTTCGATTTTCGTTTACTAGTTTAATTATCTTGTAGTTTCTAATTTATTCTTTGTTTTTTTTAATTGTATTTTATATTTTTATACAGAAATGCAGGAATAACAATTGGCAACTTCCTGAAGGGCAAAAATATCAAAAAAACAATGTTCCTGCGGCATCTTTATACACAGATCCTTCAGGCCAAAACAAGCCCAGAAGATTCGGTTCAATGCCTCGTCTAATGAAAAACAGTTTTATACTTCCCCAGGAGAAAGCCAGCGAAGGCTCTAAAAGCCATTTTGAAAAGGAAATTTCCAATTATGTTGGACATGAAACTACAACTATGGCACCTATCAAGAATTCTCACTAGCTCTATCATGAATCTGGTCCAAGTAATGTCAGAACTTGCTCAAGTCCTTCATCAAACCCTATATTTTCATCTACGGTTTCTTTAATTTTCCAGACATGGACTATTTGATTCATAGTTATTCTAGTATGCACCAAGGATCTGTCACGAACATGAATTCAAGAACTTCTCCAGAAGCCTTTCATGATTCCAATTAAGTTTACCCTGATCAACAGGTATAATATTCCTAATTCCTTGTAAAAACATTCTTACATCGGTGTTCCAGGAAATCTTATTATCCTACCTTGTATATGTAAATATTTCTCAGAAACTACATGATATATTTGCAATTTGTTGGGGATTTTACACCCTTAAACATATTTTCAATACAAACATGAAATTGAATATAGAATTGAGAAGCCCCCATTCTCCTTTTTTTTTTTTTTTTTTTTTTTTGAAAAATGTGTGATTGAAAAAGAATAAAAAGTTTTCGATTTACGTATAATATTATTTTATGGAAGATTGTGTTGTTAGTTTTCGATTTACTTGTAATATTATTTTATAGAAGATTGTGTTGTTGAAAATAAAAGAAAGAAAAAAATATAGAAAGAGAATGGGGGCCAAATGAGGGCGAAATCAAGTCTATACAAGTAGACAAATTCGTGTCTTTCCATACGTCAATGAAAGACATTTCCTTCTTCAATTTAGAACCTTTCATATAACAGAAAGAACGCATTTCTGAAATCAAATACAATATAAATAAATTAGCGACAAGAAAATGGAGATACAAGTGTAAGATTGGTCGAGGCAAGTGAAACACTCTTTTCTTAAGATGAATTTGCCCCGCATCAGTGCGTGGCGCAATGCGGTGATCTATTGCTTGCCTGGTGCTGGTCTACCGCTCGAGCAGTGGCCTCACATGCTGAATTCCGGTTCTTCCTTCAAAATTTGGACCACAATTTCTCATTCATCTGAAATTAGTTTTTAGATTCCAAATATACTACGACAATCTATTCTATGAGTAGAATAAGTTAGTATATTTAGTTTCGTAAATCGTATCAAGTTCGAATATGTGGTCAAAATTGACACAAAATCACTTTTCAAGTTTGTATTTAACCAAAATTCAATTCTAAAACCAGATTCCAACACAATTTTGTTAGGAAGATGGATTGAACTAGATATTATCAGTGTTCTAAATAGCGTGCCAATGCATACGCCAATGTGCGCATTGGTGCAAGGCAAGCCTAAGGCGCCAAGCACTTATTGGCGGTCAACGGACGCGGGGCGAGCTTAAGGCGCCAATGCGCGCCTAGGCGGGGTTATGCACGCCTTATTAGGTTTTTTCTTTTTTTTTTTTTTACAATTCTTTTAAGTTAAAACTTATAATTTTTAAATAATTTGTAATTATTAAATAGTTTTTTTATTGATTAAAAATTTAAAATAATATTAAAATAAGAAAACACTTTTTAACGCATTTGCCTCGCCTAATCTTACATTGCCCTTAGCTTGGCATCAACGCATCACCACGCATTATGCCTTTTAGAATACTGGATACTCTAAATGAAGAAAAAAGTTAAGATATACATTGTACAGTTTAGTTGTATTAAGCATTCCATACATAAATGTGTGCATGTTTCTGTTCATGTATCTATCAACAAACATGCACATATTTATTTATTTGTTTATTTGTTCTATACAAACACAGAGTGATAGACAGAGAGAGACTTTGGCTTGATGAAATTTATTGAGTATCGACTGACTTGTGCTTCAGAATTCAGCTATGTCAAACGTGGAATGCAGGAGCAAGTGGAGTTTAGAGGCATCAAACTTCGAAAGGGATTCATCAGAAACTGGAGTCCAAGAAAACAAAATCACTTTGAGGCCAAGAATATAGAATAAAGTGTGCACATGCAGAGATATTTAGCAGCCCATACCATATCAAACTTTCTAAGATTTTATTTTTCATTTCTTTTTAGATACAAGAACATGATATAAATAAATCTGGTCATTGATGATTTGCCGAACAGGAAAAAGCACCGATGTTAACATGATATAAGTAAATCTGTTGGATACCCCTATTTCCATCGTCAGGCTAACGAATTTGAATAGAGTTTTTTGATTGAAGATCTGTAAATTCAGTCATAGAATTCAACGAATCACTTGAAATAGAAAAACAAGCATGGTAGCCCTTCGAATTTTTTATCCACGAGCACAAAATGAACCGATACAATAAGCAAAAATAAATTTTGGGTCTAATTTTTTAATTACAACAAATTTCTTCAATAAATTAAGAATAAAAAAGGAGTACAGAATGAATTGTTGCTACGACAAACTTCATGTGATTTTGCCTAAAAAATTGCAATGGATAATGACGTAAATGTTATTTTGATGCACCTCATTGATGAAAGAAAATAATCCATCATATATTGTCAAACAATAATTCCATGTTCGATTGTAATTAGTCCCCATGTTACGCTTGATATTTTTATTTTTGACCTATGCTTGAGTTGCCATAATCTTGTATATTAGTTTAGTTTCCAATCACAGCCTTGATTAGTTACATCATTGTGTATATATATCCTCGTAATTACACAGACGAATACTATTTACTTAAACTAAAATTGTCATGGTAAGAGAGCATTTTTGTTCCTAGCCAAAAAAATAATTAAATAAATAAAATAAAAATAAAAATAAAAATAAAAATAAAGAGGAAAGATCCTCTGCCAAGAACCTTTATTTCATCACCTTTTCTAAATTCCTTCTTCATCATGTATTGGAAGTTGACAAGGCTGCTGACAAAGCAGCTGAATTGGAAAGACATGAAGGATCTGGTTGAAGAATCAGTAGTACAATCAACAATTGAACAACTGACAGCCAGCTTGCAATAACAGAATGAGAATTCTCTAGAAGAAGGAAGATGAATTTTTGTGTTAGTTAGGGAATTTGTTGAGAGAACGTGTTTGTAAATTATTCCTTCTAGAATAGCCTATTTTTGTGTATGTATGTATAATTTTGCAAGCAGAAAAATCAATACAATGATTTACTTCATTTCTGCCCCAATCGTTCAACTAATTTTCTTTGTTATAAACTCATTTCTAAAATGGTATCAAAGCCAGCCTTAGAAGATTCAAGTGCTGGAGATACAAATACTGATCAAAACCAAAATCAAAGCCAAAATCCAAATGCTAATCAATCTGGCAATTCATCAAACTCTATAAACCTTGATCCTACTCAGCCTAATAGCCCATATTTCATTGGAAGCAATGACAATACTGGAGCCTTGCTCGTAACTCACACCTTGGATGCTAACAATTATCATTCACGGGCGAGATCAATGAAAAGAACATTGAGAATCAAAAATAGATTGGGATTCATTGATGGATGCTTAACTGAACCAGCAAACCCGAATAACCTACTCATGGAATACTGGTTGCGTTGTAATGACATAGTTATTACCTGGATACAGAACACAATGGCAGTTGACATCAAATGTAGTACCACATATGCTGAAACGGCGCATCAACTATGGATTGAGCTGGAGCAACGTTTTGCTCAACAAAATGCACCTCGAATCTTTGAAATCAAACAAGCCATAAGTATGCTGTTGCAAAACCAAGATCCTATAAGTGTTTATTTCTCCAAATTCAAAACACTTCTAGATAAACTCATGAACTATGAAGCTGTACCTAACTATAATTGTGGAGGTTTGAAGACAGTCATTCAAAATCAACAAAGGGACTGGGTAATGAAATTTTTAATGGGTTTGAGTGATTCATATAAAGGAATTAAGGCACAAATCCTGTTGATCAAACCATTTCCCAGTTTAAATGAAGTTTACTCGATAATACAACAGGAAGAGAAAAGAAGGGAGATATCAACTGAAGGATACTTACATGAATCTATGACTCTTCTTGCAAAGGGAAATTTCAAAGAAAAGGGAAGGCAAAACACTTATTCGCAGAAGAAAGATAGATACTACTGCACTTTTTGTAAAATTGGAGGACACTCACTTGATAGATGCTTCAAGGCAAACCCAGACAGACCAATTTGTGCCCACTGTCAGATTCCTGGCCATCAAGTGGACAAATGTTACAAAGTTCATGGCTATCTTCCAGGCCACAAATTCAGTGGAAAGGAAAAGGCATCAGCAAATCAAGCTATGGCATCTTTATCTCCTGCACAAGGGGTTGGAAATAGCAAATCCAGGTGTTCTTGTTTCATAAAGTGGACAGTAGATTAATAATTTAATTTTCCAGTTTTGGGTTAGTTGTTGGTAGTTTCATTGCGTGCTCTTTAGTTTGAATGATCTGATTGATTGGAAAATTTATTATGTGATTATGCAAATGCAGTGACTCAATTGGTTTAGATTTGATTAATTGGCAATTGTTTAGGGAACATCATAAACAATGAAAAAGTTTACATTATCGCAACGCTTTCAAAATATGAGACCTCGTAAAATTCAGTTGTTTAAGTTTACGAATACAGAGTAAGGTTGAAATTGTATTGTATATTTTCATATATATATATATATATATATATATATATATATGTGTGTGTGTGTGTGTGTGTGTGTGTGTGTTTGTGTGTGTGTGTGTTGACTAATTTATAATATTATTTAATCAAATTTTAATAAACGACCGGCCGCCGGTCGGATCGGACTTTTACAATCGTTGATTGTCGATAGCCAATGGTCAAAGTTAACCTCCGCCCTAGCTGAATGTTCATGCTGGATTCGCCCTTGGTTTCGACCCACAACATTCTCAATCTCACCCAAAAAGGACAAGATAACGGTGTTGATTTGGAACCACAAAGGGAAGAAGAAAAACAAGGAAACAAGGCTAAAGAAGAGAACAAAATCAAAGGAGAAGCCATTAGTTTTTGGCAACAAAGGGCTGTTGATTTCTCTCATAATGCACACCTTATTCTTTCTTTTTCTTACACAAATTGCACACAAAATGGCTAGGTCAAAAGCAATATATATATAGGATATGTTAGGCTTTAGTTGGACCAATAAAAGGTTTGAATTGGCCAAGATTCAAAGCCATCCAATAGGTAAATAGGTATGGACCGTGAGCAGTATTAATTTCTGATTACCGACTCACCTGTTAAATTCAATATGTGGCGACGCCACCACAGCCATGGCTGTGTATTGTTTTTTAGTTTCTATTATTGCTTTGACAGAAGTCAATATCGTTTCTATTAACTGTAGGACAAGCAATAAAAATTAGCTTCTTATTCCCATTTGAATTAGAATGTGGAAGTTCATCATGTGCACAGTCATGATTGCCCAATGCTCTAATCGTAGATAGCCATAAAATGCGGAAGTTGAACTCCACTAATCTTTCCATTGTAAATCTTGAGCTGTTTTCTAGGAGCATTTGCTAAAAGGGATGGTTTAAGATTTGAGTTGATCCATTGGTAATTAATTTAGTGCAATGTGAAGAACAGAATTAGGGAACAGAGGAAGAATTTGGTGCACCAAAAAACTCCATGAAGATGAAGAGGAAAGTGGGAAAATATTAGTACAATATCAGGCCTTTTAAGTCATAAATGAAAGTACACCAACTTCATAATCATGATTTTCACGACTCTTCATCTGAAATGACTCTGGTATGTGAGATTCATTTTATAATGTGGCTTCAATGTTTGTGATCAAGAAATAAAATTGTGATAAATTATTAGACCTTATAATTTGACCTACGATTCGTTCTTTTCATTGTTAAATAAGTTGTGATTAATTAATTTGATAATTTATGATCAATAAATAAGTTGCGACAAGATAATTTGATTTTTTGTGACCTTACAATGAGTTGAAACTAGTTAATTTGATATGTTATGATTAATAAATAATTTGTAACATATATTGTTGGTCTTAAATTAATATAAGTTGTAGTCACACAATAATTGGTCACATTCACATAACAATTGGTCACAATGAACACATTATAGGGCACAAACATTTACAGTGAAAATAGATATTTCATTGTTTGAATGATTGATCATCATTTAGACAATTAGTTACTTATTGCATTGATGGAAGACTCCTAATAAGTTAGAACATTGCATAATTGACTCATAGGCAATAGGTGTTAGGAATTACATTCATGTTATGTGTGATCTAGGTAAATAATCGTTTGACTTAATGCATCTCTTATGCATATGAATTCAAACAAGAAATAGGGCCGGGTCGTGCTTAGAACATGTTTAATTTATCTAGAAAAAGAAGGTTAAACATGACTGGATTATCGATTGTCATGGATACTTGAAAAACACTAACTTAAATGATTTGAAAATTGGAAATAGAGATAAATAGGTGAATTCTGAATTCCAATAACCCATCACATTATTTAATAAAAATCCATATCTTTACATAGTCGTAGCTAATTTAGATATAACAAAAGTTAACTCTTTTGCGTTATAATAATCAAATTTGATTGAAACTGGTAAAGTATAATTACAATAATATTATCTTTATTTTGCACAAATATCATCTCTCATAATTTAATCAAAATTAAGTGAGGTTATCTGTCGAATAGACCATTATCCATTTCTTTTTATCCTTTGAGCTGGATGACCATTATCCATCTCTCATAATTTAATCAATATTAAGTGATTAATTTATTGGTTATCAAATTTGCTTAAATTTAGATTATTCTTTGAAAAAGGTTTTAACAACCAATTCACCTCCTTTTGGTTAGCTATTCTTAGGTTATCAGGTCGAAGGATTGGGTCATTGGTTCTTAAAAAAAAATGTATCTTGGGAGGATTGAAGGAGTTGGTCCATGGTCCCAAACACAAAGTGCCTTGGACAGTTGAAGGAACCGATCCTTGGTCCTCAACAAAAATACCTTGGATGGTCAAAGGAGTCAATTCTTAACAAAAAGTGACTTGGATGTTCGAAGGAGCTTGTCCTTGTTTCTCAACACAAAGTGCCTTAGATGGTTGAAGGAACAGGTCTTTGGTTCTTAACACAAAGTACCTTAGACGATTGAAGGAGTAGATCTTTGGTCCCCAATACAAAGTGGTTTGGATAGTCAAAAGAGTCGGTCATTGGTCCTCAACATAAAATGTCTTAAACGGTCAAAAGAGTTGATTCTCGATCTTTAACACAAAGTGTCTATGACAAACGAAGGAGTCAATCCTTAATTCCCAACATAAAGTGCCTTGAACATTCGAAGGAGTTGGTTCTTGGTCCTCAACACAAAGTACTTTGGATGATTGAAAAAGTCAATCCTTGGTCCTCAATACAATGTATGTTGAACAGTCAAAGGAGAAGGTCCTTGGTGTTCACCAAAAAATACCTTGGATGGTGAAAGGTAGCCGTCCTTGTCCTCAATGAGTGTTAAAAGGTTTGAAATTTTGAGTCTGTTCATAAACAAATATTTTTTGAACTCCTAAAGTAATTGCATCATGAATATTTAAACTCTACACGAAGAAAATCTCGAATATCAAAATTCTTAATGAGGAAATTACTAAAATGGTCAACTTTTGACTTTGCATTTACAAAAATGTCACTTTTTAAAAGTCTTTTCAAGATTGTCAATTTTGGACTTTTTGCCCTTCTTAAAAATTCAAATACCCTACACATCCTTGAGTTGACAACATCAAAAGTTGTACAAAAATAGGAGAAAATGTGACAATCAATCACCTCAAAATTTTACTTTAAAATCCTTACAAAATATATATATATATATATTTATTAACATTTAACTCATTCATTTTTATCTCTCTAGTACGTTTCTTTGCAAAATTTCTCTCTTATTTTTTTTTTAAATTTTTTTTCTCTATGTTTGCTCTCTTGATTCTTATAAACTCATTCATTTTTATCTCTCTACGTTTCTTAGCAAAATTTCTCTCTTATTTTTTTTTTAAAATTTTTTTTCTCTATGTTTGCTCTCTTGATTCTTTGAAAACTATATGGAGTGCATGTTCTTGCATTAGGATCTCGTTTATTATGTCAATACAGAAGGAAGAAGAATTTCATAGGTAATGTTTCGAATATATGAGTTCTTTTTTAGATTGATTGAAGGTTTTGTTTCAAGTTTTTTATTAATGTTCATTTTTTTTGTCTTTCTTTTAGATTGCATAATTAATTTTGAGTTTCCTACATCTAGACCGTAAGTTAGATTGTTCTCTGCTTTGGGTTCAGCTTTGTTTAGAGTGTACATTTATAGGTAATTTGGGTTTCTCCATTTTTTTTGGGCATTTTGATTTTTTCCAATTTTTCTGGATATTATGTATGAATTTTTTTTATATTTTTTAAAAAAAAAATATTTCACATTCTGCCAATTTTTCACTTCACGTTTCTTTGAATTTGTTTGGTTTGTGAAAGTTGATTTTTGTATTATACTTGCCATTCCAACCTCCCTTATTTATTATATTTTTCTAGGTTAGGCAAGTGTATAGAATCTTCTAAGCGAATTGTTTAATTTGTCATAATTGAAGTTTGTACAGTTATGAATTCTCGACACAAGAACTTCTCGAAAGATCAGTTATGTAACCCATCTGACGCAACAAACTGTTGTTCCCGATAATTCATTTTAGTTATTCTCGACAGATGAGTTATCTTTCGATATAAACTGTCATTCTCAAAGTTAAAGGCAGTATTTCTCGAACAATATAATTTGTTTTTTGATTTCTTAAATGCGTGTATAGTATTAACATCTGAAAAATTCAAAATTTTAAATACACTAGAAATATTGAATTCATGTCCATTTGTATTGTAATTATTGTTTTCAATTAAATGGAGGATGCATCCACCTGTGCTCCAATAATCATGAGGGTCTATTGCCTAGTGAGAACTAAGAGGCGAACATTATGTGTGTTAATTATGAGGAATTCAAAATTTTAAATACTCTCATCTTATTCTGTAATTTGTAAACTAGAAATAATGAACTTATGTTGGTTAGTGTTGCAAATGTTGTTTTCAAATAGATGGAGGACCCATAAAGCTCAAAGTGTCATCCCCGAACAACGAGAAAGTTCCCTCAACTTGTAGCATGACGGAGGCGGATACCATACCCGTTGAAAGTAACGATGTTGTTAACACAAAGAGCAATGATCGACACACATTCGATTTCCTACAACATCTACTAGGACCCCATACAACAAGGAGAAGAGAAAAAGAATAAAGAAATAGTGTGACCCAATTTGTTAATACTACATTAGAATTGATTTGTGTAATCAATGACCTCATTTTGCTTCCCTCCAAGAATGTAGTTATAAACATGATTTAGTGGT